CGGTCGCCTCCCCCTCCAACATCATCAACCGCACCACCACGGCCTCCCGTTCCCCGTCCCCTGTCAGCGACGAACCAAGACCCGCCACTCCCCAAAACCCACCTCCACCGCCACCAAGATCCCCTCTCCAAAATCCCCAGAACCTAAAAACCCACCTCCCCAAAATCCGACGACGTCCAGAACCCCATTTCCCTCGCCCTCCGACCCGACCGCCGGATTCCCCGACCGAACGCCCTCCATCCTGATCCGCCTCGAACGCCGCCCGCTCCACCCGAGCGCTGCCGTCCCGACTTCACCCGCCCCGCCGCCGTTTTCGATCCGTGCCCTTCTCCTCTCCATTGCAACGAACGAAGGAAGCCTTGGATCTGAGTTGATTTGTTCAGACCCCTCCTCTTTCCTATTTATTTGTTGGGTTTGTTTGGTTCAGATCCGAACCGAACCAAGTGGGTTCAGATCTGTTTATTTTGGGTTCATTTGTATTGATCTGCATTTGGGATTGCTCGATTCTGTTGACCGTTGGTGTATGGCTGATCCTGATGCTGATGATGGAATTGTGCTAGATCCAGAGACCGGCATCGCAGATTTACAGATTTCTCCGTGGTTTGATTATCAGTCATTCGAGAGCGTGCCCGAATACGTTGAGCGTGTGACTCATCAGATCGTTGACAGCGTAGAGAGTAGCTTGGGAATCAGTTCGTGGCATCGGCGTTTCCATCCAGATACACCGCTCCATCCGAACTACGCCGCCCTCGGTGGAGAACTTCCTCCCCTCATTTTTGGCGTGTACGAACCACCACCAGAGGAGCCTCCCATCGAACCAGTTCAACCCGACGAAGGTTCAACTTTCTTTCGCCCAGTTATTTACGGAACTGCTATTGCTTGCATGTTGCTATCAATATTATTATCAATCGTATCTGTGCTGTATTCAGTTTGATTAAGTGAGCGAGTGAATCTGTTGCTAAGTACTTTTACTTATCCAAATATTACACTTTGAACTGTATTGAAAGAACGAATCATTACATTTATTTTCTGGATCATTACAAAAGATTTGAACTTAGTACATTGCAACTTTTGCTTAAAAACCATCGAAGGCTACACTTTATTCTTGAGCTTCCTGCCTAGATCGATCGCTGATTTGGCGAAACATTGTTGTCATTAATCTTCATACCTGCATCACATTGTTTCGCATCACTACGCCTAACACGCGTTGCCGGTTAATCTTTCGCCGTGAAAAAGACACCAGGATTCATGCCTGGGGGACTTTATCTCGATCCCTAATTAGAGATAAGTCTACGCCTAACACGCGTTGCCGGTTAATCTTTCGCCGTGAAAAAGACACCAGGATTCATGCCTGGGGAACTTTATCTCGATCCCTAATTAGAGATAAGTCTACGCCTAACACGCGTTGCCGGTTAATCTTTCGTCGTGAAAAAGACACCAGGATTCATGCCTGGGGGAATTTTATCTTGAATCCTAAGTAAGGATAAGTCAATGTCTAACACATGTTACCGGGTAGCCTATTCCCGTAATAATAGCCAAGCCTACGTATTCAATATCGTAGCAGATCGTTATTAATAACGCCAAAATCCATACCTTACACGCGTAGGGAATTTTATCCTGAATCCTAATTAGGGATAAGTCAATGTCTAACACACGTTGCCGGTTAGTCTTTTACCGTGAAAAGGATATTAAAATCCATGCCTCACACGCATGGGGGACTTTATCTCGATCCCTAATTAGAGATAAGCCTACGCCTAATACGCGTTGCCGGTTAGTCTTTTCCCGTGAAAATGACAAAGTCTATGTATTCAAAATCATAGCATTAAGTCTAAGAGGATTCATTCTCTTAGCACAACGTTACATGTGGAACGGACTTAGACAATCCACATGCTAGCCCGACTCAAACGGTAGTCGGTAAAGGCTTATCAAATCCGTTGATGGCTAAGGGTTTGCCAAAAATCCTACGCACATTTGCAGGCCCATCAGCTTAATAGATGTGAGTCAAGACTTAAAACAGATGCGTCAAAGACAAGTCTCAAAGACTTAGTCAATAATGCACGGAAGCCACTTTCATGTCTTAAGTCAAAACATTGACCCGCGATGCAAAAACCAAACGTCGAGGTTACACCTGTGTTCCAAATTCAACATGCAACGGTGAAACCCGCATCTAAAGTTCAAAATGCAGGGTCCACCCCCACATTCCAGAAGCAGGATTATGGCGCATACCTTCACACAAATCCTGCATGGAAAATCCCTTCAACCAAGCTGCCTTCGAAGCGAGTGCAAAGAACAACTCCTTTGTGACAATGAATCAACAGCTCCAAGATCAGAGTTGAGATCCAAAGTATTCCGAAAATTCGTTCCAGTCAACCGCGAACTTTCAAAAACTTTGGAGGGGGTTCTGTAGGCTGTCTAAAAATCACAATAGATAGTTGATCCCCCATCAAACACCGATGATGAAAGTTACAATCTGACGACTTCCAGAAGGCTACAATTTGAGGACTTTCACGTAGAAGGTTACAATCTGACGACCTTCACAATAACTAATGAAAGCCCCAATTCAACAGCCTTCACAATCAACATCGGGAGTTACAATCTGACGACTCTCATATTTTATAACAGGCAAAGATCAATAAGCAATGGCCTTTACAATGTTATAATGGACGAGGTTATAAGCCAACAATCTCTCTCAAACGCAGAAATTCACTTCTGCGTTTTTCAAGTTCAAAACGCACACAAGTGTGCGTTCCTTAGCAGGCGTCGAACTCTGTAACGCAGAGTTAAATCACGAAACGCACAGGTAACGTGCGTTCTTCGACAGACTCGACTGCATCCCAAACTCTGAACGCCAAGTTGATCCTCAACGCACCAGTGACATGTGCGTTTCCAATTTCAGAACGCATGCGGCCTGTGCGTCTCAAATCTCCAACAGAGATTTAACTCTGCGTCCTAAGTCTTGGACGCAGAGTTAAAGCCCAAACGTGACCTGTGCGCCTGTGTTGCTTGAACTGCTGAACGCAGAGTTCAACTCTGCGTTCTAACGCCCTAGCACAGAGAATCTGCCTGTGCGTTCAGCCACCAAGATAGGCCCAACTCTGCGTTTTTAGTCTAAAAACGCAGAGTTCGGGCCCTGAACGCTATTTTTTAGCGTTTGACTCGTTCAAAGCACGCAATGAACAGTTCCAGGAACTGTTTTTCCCCACGATTTGAGGGATTTCCGCCCCACTTAAGAGCGGATTAAGGGGGTAGTTACCACCCTTAATCCCCTATAAATACCAGAAACTCAATTGAGTTAAGGGATCGAATTTTCTCTCATCAACAAAGAGAGATTCGGTCAAAAGGCTGGCACATTTGAGCTCTTGGATTCTTCTTTTTGGGCAGCAAGGGGGAGATCAACGTTCATCCTCAGCAACGATCGACCATAGGAGCATTCCCTTGACTTATAACCAACTTTCGGTTCAAATCAACTATTTTTCAAGAGTTCAAACTCGTTTAGAGTTATCAACTCGATCAGAGTTCAAAACTTGCTCTGCAAGTTCTTCTAAAACTCGTTCAGAGTTATCAACTCGATCAGAGTTCAAAACTTGCTCTGCAAGTTCTTCTAAAACTCGTTCAGAGTTATCAACTCGTCAAGAGTTATTTTCAAAACTTGCCACGCAAGTTCTCCACAGCGTCAAATCGTGAGGAAAAAATCATGTTCCAGTGATCAAGACGTTCGGATCGTCAACGGAGAGCAAACTCGACGCGAGCATTCGAGGGAGGCACTCCATCGCCACCGTGAAGAACCCAGAATTAAATAAAGGGGAGAATCAAATTTATTATCCTCTCTTTTGTAATCGGAATCCAAATTGTAATTGATTTTGAGAGAAATACAAGTCAAAATTTTCTTTCATTGTCTTTCTACTGTAAATTTTCCAACAAACATAAACCAATAGTTGCATGATTCCCTGGACCTCCCTTGAACTGATTCCCAGTACATTTGCTAATTGATTCCCTTCAATACACAAATTTGTTCCTCAAAATTGGCGCACCACTTACAAGTATGTGGGGCGCGAAATCCCTTTAAAGTGCACATGCGCAAGACACAATGCAATGTGCACAATGAAGTGAAGAGAAGCTCACAATAGGATATATTATTCGATAACTTCACTACAACAGAAAACCTATGTTGATAACACGTGAAATGAAACCATGTTCCCAACACAAACTATGTGAAAATAAAAAGAAACAAAAAAACAACCTCCATAACAAAAGAAGCTTTTAAGTATTTTGTATAAAAAAATATTAAAATGCATAATTAGATTTCTAGTTTCTAGTTTTCTACTGTACACTTTAGAAATGGTAAGTGCACAGGAAAAAGATTTATAATGTATACTAATCGAGCTTGCGTACCGAAGCAAGCTATCCCCCCATCAAATCCAAATTTTCTAAGTGGCGAATTGTGTACCCAAATTTGTACCACGACTACCTAAGTACTACGTCCTACGTAACTATATTAGTCTAAAACTAATTACAGAGCTATAAAACCATAAAGCAGTGTGCATGCGCATATGCATGTTAGGTAAGAACAGGTTGGTCAGCAACATAGTCAGTGAGAAAGTGGCACTTAGTACATCCATGTAAACCTTCACATGGAAACTGTGTCTATTCCTGGTTAATACTTTTGCAAAAAGCCATATACAGAAATTAGTCATCGTTTCATTGACAATAATAGCACATTCAAGTACAACAGAGCAAATTTCATCCTAAATTGAGGTACATGATATGTTTTAGATGTTTGAAAAGAGAACACTCCCTAAAACTACAGAAATAGGCATGAAAAGGACACAGTAGAAGTATTTTTCCTATGCAACTAGCACATATGCATCACAGGTCCTATAGAAAGAAGATAATTTTCAAGAAAGTAACAGCTGTCACTTATCTAACAAGGATAGAGTAACAAAGGTAGAGAGTAAAATCTATTGACAAATAGAGGCTGACATATTAGAGCATAGCTCACCTATAAAGGCCAAACAGAAGCAAACCAAATTCCGCATTGATTGTAGCATCCAGTAGCGATGGAACAGCTGCAAGACAAAGAAAAAACTGTTTAAATAAGAGTACAGACTTCAATGGCAAATGTTCTTGTTAAATAACAGATTAAAAGTATCTACTTTTGCTAGATATCTAAGACAAACTACTACATGTCAAGAAGAATAAATGTGTATTTGGACAGCATGAAATGAGATATCTGGACAAATGGTATTCGAGGATAGTTTGATTGTACACCCCTTTCAAATTAAGTCTCTTACTAAATATCAGGAGGTATAGTCCACTTGATGTCTAATTAACATTTAATAGATTGAGATAAACAACAGAACAATTACATAGCAACTCATTAAAGGAAGAAGCACCAATATAATATGCCACATGGGAAAAATGATTAGCTATAACCTGAAAAAATGGAGACATGCTGAGGTCGATAAGGCTGATGGGGGTGCAATTGACCTCAAGTTAATGTACCTCGTGAATCAGTTCAATTCGTCACAGAGTATTGAATATTACAATAGCAAGACCTTTACAATTTGATCATATTCATGCAGCTAACCTGTTGACATGTGAGTGTGATGTGTTGTTTTCTTTTCCTTTTTGGATGGCGAGCATTCGCCCTAACAGAGGTTGATACTTTCCATATAATAAAACTATATAGACACACACAGAGATGCACACACGACGCACATATGCATGCCCACATAGATGATAGATGTGTACGCATGTATTGAATATGTACGTGTAGATAATCTTTCTGTGTTCTGCAGGAACAACTTACAACTTTGCACCCATGTACGAAGTTGCACGATTGTTCCTACATTATTCATATCGATTTACTGCCAGAATGGATATATGGAACCCACTTGTGCTTTGTAAATGTTTGAATCCAGATTTAGTGATTGCAAATGAATAATAGTTTATCGTAAAAGGAAATAGATGAGTGGCTTATAAGCTTCTAAGAATCATGATCATCCACATATAGTTACTTCTGATGCATTGCGATCGAGGTTGTGAGTCACTTATTGGCAGTGTTTTAAATATCGGCCGACATGTCGGACATGTCGGCCGATATAGCGGATTGAGGGGTCCAACGACACAAATCGGGGAAAAACAAGTCGCATATCGTTTTTTACCGACATATCGGCCATATCGGTGAAAAATCGGCCATATCGGCCGATTTTCTTGTTTGGAAAATCGGCCATATCGGCCGATTTTCCTGTTTTTTCTTTTTTTCTTCTTCACACGTGAATGTTTGGTTTGTGGACTATTTTGATTAATAATAGGCTAATGATTACTTGATGTTTGATCACTTGATTAATAATAGGCTAACTGATTAATAATAGGCTAATGATTATTGATTAATAAGGAGAGATTTATTTTATTTTAAATGTGCATATGAATGTTGAAATGTGCAGAGTCATGAAGTTATGAATTTAGGAATGCTTAGATAGTTAGATTACATTTAGGGCATGATATTATACATATGTGGATCACCCGATATGGCAATCCGATATTTAGTCCATGTCCCCCGATATATCCCCGATTTCCGCTATCCGACATGGATTTCAGCCGTCCGACATGAACCCGACATCCGATATTTAAAACCTTGCTTATTGGGCCATCGTAAGTGGTAATACTTTGAGGTTGTTTCTAGGAAACAATAGGGCAGTGTCTATACAAATTATATTGCTAATTTTATTTATTTATGTATTTATTACTTTTTTGGTTGGAAAAATCAACACCTCATACTAGTATGAGACACTAATACCACTAACCATATCCAAACAAGCAGCAAACAGGAGCATCATAACATGGATTGGTGCATGTCCACATGACGATGTATCCCAAACATAAGTGCTTGATAGTTGTTATTTCTTCTCTTCGTTTAGAGGGAGCAATATAGATAATTAGAGGAAACTGACATATCATTTCTCATACCCTAACCCACATTCATTCGTCAGTAAGACGTATGGTTTGACCTCCTCTCAAACCTCTATATTTTAGGAAACAACGGGTCATAGAGTTAGAAGCAGGGGCAAGTGAGACCGACATCAAAGAATCGCTCAAATTCAAATATGAGGGATATCAATATGAATGTCTCTCAATTACCTCATCAATACAAGCAATCATTCTACAAAGGTATAAGGAAATCGAAACAATTATAAGCTACCTCTATCCATCATGCTCCACTTACAGTTAATTCTAGTCCAAGCAATGCAAAATTTAACACTCCCTCAAACGAACTCTCTCGATTCTACTATGAGAATCTGAAGAAGCCACGAGAAAAGAAGGTACCTTCACGAATCATGACAACATAAACTCCCCACAGAAACAGTAAATGGAAAACAACCATCGCCGGAGCCGACTGCGAAACCCCCAGCAACCGCCTAAAAAATCTACCAAAACCTAAACTTGCCAGCAAAACCAAACCTGCAACCCAAAAACATCAACAAATTAATATATAAAAAAAACAAAACCCAAAATATAACAAATCAATGTCAATAGAAATCGAACCTGAAACGGGAAGCATCCCTAAGAGAGAAAGCCACGGCAAGAACCTAGGCACCATAGCGATCGATAGCTGCGAAAGAGAGAAGATAACAAGAGAAACAAGAGAAGAAGAGAGCATACTCTTCCTCTGAAACCCTAACCCTGCCATCAAACCCCTAATCTTGCTGTTCCTTTGCGGTTTCGACAGGAGGAAGAGTCTGCGTTGGATGACGATTGAGTTAGGGTTAGGGTTAGGGTTTGGGATTTTCGTTGAAAGAGGGGTTGAGGGGACGTACGAGATTGGGTTTGTAGATGTTGTGGATGATAGAGGCGCCGCCGAGGAGGGAGAAGACGACGACGACGATCGACCACCCGAGCGATGGAGTCCCGGTCGGCGGCCGGCCTCCGCCGAATTTTTTACTGTTCATTGATTTTCGGCTCTCAGCTCAAGATGGTCTTCGGGTGGAAAAAATAAGGTGAAGCTTCTGGTTCTTTTGCACTAACGCCCCTCAAAATGCAGGTTTTTGTCGGCTTGAGTAACGGGGCTGACATGTAATTATAAACTTTAGTTTCACTCCTCTATACTATTTCTACACTACAAGATGCTGGGTCTATTCTCTTCAAAAAAAAAAATTTAAAATTGATGACTCGCCAAGAGAGCTCAAAATTTTCTATCTTATAGCGTAAAAGAGAATAGTATAGTTATTATTTTTCTAACTGGAAACATACAAGTTTCCCAATATTTCCATCTACATGTCTATAGGCTTATCTATATCGTGTATCTGCTTTTTCAAGAAACATTCTCATCTACTAAGTTCAACAAAAAACCCCTATTTATTCAAGAAACATTCTCACATCCTCCGTTAAAAGTTTACCCTAATTCCTAAAGTTTAGTACAATCTAATGGTATGTTTGGGAACTTCAAAATAGAACTTTTTTCCCCCTTAACAAGGTTGAAGTTGCTCCATATTGTCGGTCCACAAAAGAACAAGTTCAATGTCCAGAATTTAAATAAGAAACAACTAGTTCAATATAGACCTAACTTTTACCGAACTAAAAATAATTTTTTGAACCAAGACTGCATTAACTAAAACAAATTTTGTCAAACATGTCATAAGTGATTATGACTATTACAGATTAGAGGGTCTTTTTCCTCCTTCTAAACTTGGTCAGATAAGGGAGTTCTTGCACAGCTAAATATGTTGAAGCTAGGGTTGGACGTGGGTTGGGTCGACTCGCGGGCTAACCCGACCTAGCCTGCCATGTGTCAGTACCTTGCCCGATCCTTAGAGGGCCAAGCCCAACCCACAGCCTATGATATACTCAGGTCACGGCTGGGCCCAGCTCTAGACCCAGGGTTAGAGAAGTAAGCCCAACCCATGCTAACCCGGCTTGACCGTTCGTGGCCTACGATATCTTTTTCGTTTAGGCTAATTGTTCCTTTAGACTCCGTTTGGCAAAGGGTTAATGAAGAGGGGTTAAAGAGAAGGATTAATGTACTTAGCCCATTTGATAATCCGAAGGACTAAATTATTAACCCGTTAAATAAGTTTTGTTTTAGCCCTTATGATCAGTTTTAGTGTTTGGGAATAACAATGATTTTGACTATTTTCTTTATAATTAGAAGGGTTAACTCTTATTCTATCTAAATAGGAGTACTAGTAAACCCCTCATTTTGAGGGGTTAACTCATTTTAACCCCTCTAGAGGGGTTAACTTAACCCTTCTATATTTTTTATGTTTGGCAAATTATGGAGGGTTAACTCACTTTAACCCTTATATAGATTTGTTGTGTTTGGCAGGTTAAGAAGGGGTTAAGTCTCCTTAACCCATCACTTAACCCTTTGCCAAACGGTACCTTAGCTCTTTGAGTCTACAACTTGTAGGCGTCAAAAAATACTGAAAGATATCCAAATACAGCTCAAGAGAAAATCATCCAAAAAGGCAGAAAAAACAAAGTCTATGACTGTCGTCGCGTGAGACAGCACTTGACTGTCATCGCCGCGCGAGACAGTCTTTACTGTCTGCCGTGCGAGACAGTCCTTTACTGTCTCTCGGGCGAGACAAGTGACTTTTACCTAGTCTCGCCCGACCGAGACATCCTTTGCTGTCTCGCCACAGCGGAGACAGTCTTTGCTGTCTCTGGCCGTGCGAGACAGAATTTAACATGTCTTACACGTGAACATGTTTCAGATGGTGCAAAACTACTTCTGCAACTGCGCCTAAGTGCCATAACTGTTCAAGAACGTGGGAAACGTCGTGGGCGTGGAAAAATCACGGTGATAACTGCCAAAATACGGAGGTTAATACGTGAGAGAGCGTTACAATGAAAACTGCATTTTCCGAGACAGTTTGTAACTGTTGCTCGCTGGGCGAGACAGCAAATTTACTGTCTCGCTGGGACGAGACACAGCAAGACACTGTCCTCGGCCAGTCAGAACAGCAACACTCTCCCTCCGCACGAGACAGAGCAAATGCTGTGCTCAGGCGAGCACTGTTGCATTCCAGAGGTTATAAATACCCCCCGAAGGGCATTTTCACAAAGGGCTGGCCAGCAGAGATCCAAGGGCTGAATCATTTTGAGGCACTTCAGGCAATCCAGAGCAGAGCAGAAGAGCAGAGGTGCTGATCTTTGACGGCCAATCGTTGATAATAAGGCTTTTGACTTGATTTCAAGAAAGGACGTACTATACGTACACATCGATAAGAATAGTCGTTTTAAATTTCCACTTCGATAAAACGAAAGTCAGAACATAAACCCCTCACGGTTTCAATCATGGATTGTGATTTGGGTACCACCGAGTCAAAGCGCCCCCGGCAACAGGCAAAGATCCCACGAACGCATGTACAATACAAGCGATCTGCGTTTATATTTCTCTCAAGGAGTTTGTAATTTTCTTTTTGTTTGTTAAAGACCTATAAAAGGCTGTTTCTTTGAATTTATTGTAATCGACCGAAGATATAATGAATTCGACAACAAAACCAACTTTTGGCGAAAACACAACTAACTGCAAACAAAGCCAAGAGGCCATAAGTTTTTGGTTCGTGGTCCTTTCGGCCCATTGAGAAACAAAGCAACGATCTTTAAACTCGTTGCTACATACTTAGAAAGACTAAAAAGATTAATATAAATTTAAAAATAGTTTAATACAAGTTTAAATTGTTAGAGACTAAAATAAAAGTAATTTTATAATTATAAATACAAATTTATTATAATTAAAAAGATAAAAAAAATTGGACGAAAAATCCATGGACCAGCCCACAAATCACGGGCCGAGTCAAACCTGAACCTCGGCCAGGTGTGAGCCGAGTTAGACGCAACCCTAAAATCGGAGAAGTAAGCTCACACCGAGTTAAGCGCAACCCTAAAATCGGAGAAGCAGGCTTGGTCCACTGTCCACTATGACCCAACCAGGTTTGATCTTTAAACCCGGTGGGCCTGGTATGTAAGACGTTTTCCACTTTTATAGGAATATATTATATTATTTTAGTGTGGAAAATTAATGATCCATTTAATGGGAAGTTGCCAATGATCAAGGCAACTACCCATGATCTTCCCCCACATTTTGGAAACCACCCACTCTTTCACTATCTTGTCCACTACTCTATGATGGCTAGAGTAGTATAAGTAGACAATGTGTGTTTCATGAAAGGTCACCAAATCTACTCTCATATTTTATACACCATCTAAAAGTGAAAGGAGGGTTTGGAACCATCAACATTAATTAGGGCTTTCTAAAGTGCTACTGAGGTTTTCAAAAGCAATGGCTGGAGGTAAATTAATCGATCTTATCTTGTTGCTTCCGCTTTATTATTATATGTTCATATGGAAATTAGAACATGTAAAATTATGTGATATGTTTTACATTTGGTATCAGAGCGATTTATTGCCTCTGCCTTGCTTGATATGAAAATTGTCACTTTATTATTGAAATTAGCAAAATTAAGATGTTACGACATAAAATATGATTTGCTAAATATTGTGTAGATTTTTACTCACTGATATTTGTTTAGAGCTACGTACATCACATTATTATTTTTCTTTCAATGCACAAATGGAAACATTATTCATGGGCATTTGTGTTGATGAGTACGTAGTTGCTTAATAATGTAGGTAGTCTATGCATTGTCATTAATTGAAAAATGACAAAAGTTTTGTTATAGAAATAGCATAGCTTTACTGACAGAAACTATTTGATATGTTGGAATAAATCTAAATCAAGTAGTAAAATGATAAAAGCAAAGATGATAGGAGTTTGTAAATTGACGGTTCGCTTTTGCATATAGAATGTGTATTAATTTAATAATCTATGTAAATTTTGGACTATTGCGAAGTCGGCAAAATATATTATATAAGGAGTACTGATGTATGTTCCTATTCATAATTTTTATATCATGCTATAAGATACAGTGTTGTATTTTGATCATATGGACATATATTGCATATTAATTTCATCATTAAATATTTTAGTGATATTTATTAAATTAGTGGACATTTAATGATCAAAATTATAGAGCTTTAACATTTTAATTATTGTTATTCATTAACATTATGTTGAAGTGAAGGAATAATATATTAAATGGTTATATATGTCAAGTGATTCGTTAATTTTAGTAATTAGAGACTAGCCACAGCATCTCTAGTTATTTAAAATTTCTTATGGAATTACATGTGGAAACTAGACATTAATTTGTAATTAATTATATGTAATATGATGAAATATGCCCACAGGAAATTTTATTATATTTGTATGATTAGTTAGGGTGAAATATTAAATTATGTTCCTTAATCTACCCACAGGAATTAAGGGATGAATATGATTTGGTAGTTTCATCATATGGTTATTTTTATGAATCTAATTTGAGTAGGACTTTAGCCCACGGGCAGGTTTTATGTCACTAGATTCATATTTTGCATGATTTACATTGGTAAAGCATGATAAAGTTAAGTCTCAATTTTGTTAATAAGCATGTATATATATATAATTGTTTGCAGCAATTTTACCTGAGAATATTTCTGATGTCAATTGTGACATTCCTGAATTAAGGGGTGATAACTATAAGGTGTGGAAAGAAAGAGTGCTTCTGCATTTGGGATGGATGGATATCGACTATGCTATTCGGAAAGACGAACCACCGGGTATAACTGAAACTAGCACTCTAGATGCAGTTAATCTTTATGAAAAGTGGGAGCGATCTAATCGCCTCTCCGTTATGTTCATAAAGACCAAAATTTGTGCTAGTATTCGGGGTTCTGTCGATAAGCATATTAAGGTTAGAGATCTCCTTTATGCCATTGATGAGCAGTTTGCAACTTCTGATAAAGCTCTTGCTAGCACCTTAATTATGAAATTCTCATCCATGAGGCACCATGAGACTAAGGGTGTGCGTGATTATATCATGCGCATGAGGGATATTGCGGCCCAACTTAATACTTTGGAAGTTACCATGTCTGACTCTTTCCTAGTGCATTTCATTTTGTGCACACTTCCTCCACAGTATGGCCCCTTTAAGATCTCTTATAACACACATAAGGATAAATGGTCAATTAATGAACTTATGACCATGTGTGTTCAAGAGGAGGGCAGACTAGTGATGGAAGAAGGTGAGAAGGTGAACCTTACTACTGGTTCTTCTTCAAAGAAGAAAAAGGACCACATTGAGCAAAAGGGAAAGATTACAGCTTAGCAAGGCATAAAGAAGGAGTCTGCGTGTTTCTTTTGTAAAAAGAAGGGACACATGAAGAAAGACTGCATTAAGTTTAAGACTTGGCTTGAGAAGAAAGGTAATTTTCTTGCGTTCGTTTATGAATCTAATATGGTTAATATTAATCATAATACATGGTGGATTGATTCCGGTACTACAATTCATGTTTCGAATACCTTACAGGGTATGACAAACCTAAGGAAACCAATGGGAAGTGAACACTACATCTATTCAGGCAGCCAGATGAGTTCACATGTGGAGGCCGTTGGGACATGCAGTTTAATTCTTAGTAGTGGTTTTATTTTGCATTTAGAAAAGACGTTTTATGTACCTGGTTTTACTAGGAATTTGATTTCAGTTTCAAGACTTGTACCTTTAGGAATTTCCTTTAATTTTTTAGATTCTGGTTTCAGTATTTTCAGAAATTCTGAAGTTATTGGTTATGGTATTTTGTCTGATGGCTTATATCGTCTTTCTTTGCAAAATGATATCACTCATAATTCTATGCATGTTAATACTGGATTAAAAAGATGTATTATGAATGAGAACTCATCTATTTTGTGGCACCGGAGATTGGGACATATCTCCATTGAGAGAGTTAAGAGATTGGTAAAGGATGGAGTACTTAGTACTTTAGACTTCACTGATTTTGACACTTGTGTTAGTTGCATTAAGGGAAAGCAAACTAACAAACACAAAATGGGTGCCAAAAGGAGTTCAAACCTGTTAGAGATCATACACACGGATATTTGTTGTCCGGACATGAACGCTAATGATCCGAAATACTTTATCACCTTTATAGATGATTATTCACGATATATGTATCTTTACTTACTTCGTTCTAAGGACGAAGCTTTGGATGCCTTTAAATTGTTTAAGGTTGAAGTAGAGAAACAATGTGATAAGCACATAAAGATTGTGAGATCAGATAGAGGTGGAGAGTACTATGGTAGATACACTGAGAACGGACAAGCGCCAAGTCCATTTGCTAAATTTCTTCAAGAGCATGGGATTGTTGCCCAATACACTATGCCTGGTTCTCCAGACCAAAATGGTGTAGCAGAAAGAAGAAATAGAACTTTAATGGACATGGTGAGAAGTATGAGAAGTAATGTTAAACTTCCATCATTCTTATGGGTTGATGCTCTTAAGACGGCAGCGTATATATTAAACCGGGTTCCTTCCAAGGCTGTCTCAAAGACACCTTTTGAGCTATTCAAAGGATGGAAACCGAGTTTGCAACATGTACGCATTTGGGGATGCCCGTCTGAGGTGAGAGTGTACAATCCACTAGAGAAGAAGCTAGATCCAAGGACTATTAGCGGGTATTTCATTGGATATGCCGAAAAGTCCAAGGGTTATAGATTCTATTGTCCAACTCATAGCACCAGAATTGTGGAATCAAGAAATGCTAAGTTTCTTGAAAATGACTTGATTAGTGGGAGTGATCAATTTCAGGACATTGTTCCTGAAAAGAATGATGATCAAATTCCACATATTGTTTCAAGTGATAAGTTGATTGTCATTCACGCACCTCAATCTCAATTGCGTGTTAGACAACCAACTATTGAGGTTCCACAAGTTGACAATAATCTAGCAGATCATAATGTAAATGAGGAACAAACAGTTCATCATGAAGATGAACAAGTTCCATTGAGGAGATCTACTAGACCAAGGAAATCAACTATTTCTGATGACTATTTAGTGTATCTACAAGAATCGGATTGTAATATTGGAGCCGATAATGATCCTATGTCATTTTCACAGGCCATAAGTTCTACAAATTCAAACTTATGGATGAATGCCATGAAAGATGAGATGGACTCTATGGCATCTAATCGAGTTTGGGATCTTGTCGAGTTGCCAAATGGTGTAAAAACCATTGGATGTAAGTGGGTCTTCAAGACAAAGAAAGACTCACAAGGCAACGTCGAAAGACATAAGGCTAGACTCGTTGCCAAAGGGTTCACTCAAAGGGAAGGAATCGACTACACAGAGACTTTCTCTCCTGTATCAAAGAAAGATTCCTTTCGAGTGGTGATGGAATTAGTAGCTCACTTTGATTTTGAGCTACATCAGATGGATGTGAAAACGACATTTCTCAATGGTGACTTAGAGGAAGAGGTTTATATGAAACAACCTGAAGGATTCTTCTCTAAGGATGGTGAACATTTGGTTTGTAAGCTTAATAAATCCATATACGAGTTGAAACAAGCTTCCCGACAATGGTATATGAAATTCCATAAAGTGATTACTTCATTTGGCTTCGAAGAAAATGTTATGGATCAATGTATATACCTTAAGGTCAGTGGGAGCAAGATTTGTTTCCTTGTGTTGTATGTGGATGATATTTTGCTAGCAACCAACGATAAGGGGTTTCTATATGAGGTGAAACAATTTCTTTCAAGTAACTTTGATATGAAAGATATGGGCGAGACATCTTATGTCATTGGCATAAAGATCCATAGAGATAGATCTCGAGGCATATTAGGTTTGTCAAGAGGCCTATATCAACAAAGTCTTAGAAAGATTCGGTATGAAAGATTGTTCACCAAGTGTAGCACCCATTGTGAAAGGTGACCGGTTCAGTTTGGACCAATGCCCCAGGAATGGCATTGAAAAGGAACAAATGAAAAATGTTCCATATGCTTCAGCTGTTGGTAGCATTATGTATGCTCAGGTCTGTACTAGACCCGACATTGCATATGCCGTTGGAGTGTTAGACAGATATCAAAGTAACCCAGGCATCGATCACTGGAAGGCTGCGAAGAAAGTGCTGATGTACCTTAAGGGTACTAAAGATTACATGCTTATGTATAGACGGACTGATAGTCTTGAAGTGGTAGGCTACTCCGACTTCGGTGGCTGCAATGATTCACGTAAATCCACATCAGGATATGTGTTTATGCTAGCCGATGGATCCGTATCCTGGAGGAGTACGAAGCAGACCTTGACGACCACTTCTACAATGGAGGCTGAGTTTGTTTCTTGTTTTGAGGCTACCTCACATGGTGTATGGTTGAAAAGCTTCATATCTGGGCTAAGAGTTGTTGACTCTATCAGTCGGCCAATAAGAATGTATTGTGATAATTTAGCTGCTGTCTTTATGGCTAAGAATAATAAGAGTGGAAGTCGAAGTAAACACATCGACATAAAGTATCTAGCCGTAAAAGAACGTGTGCAAGAAAAGAAAGTGATCATTGAGCACATTAGCACTGAATTAATGATAGCTGATCCCTTGACTAAAGGCATGCAAATTAAAGGATTCAAGGATCACGTATTAAGGATGGGCCTTGGTTCCATTATGTAATACAATTATTATGTTTTGTATGAACTTTTCATTCATTGGATAATTTCTCATTTGGATTATGTACGTACATACTTTAGTTATTCTATTATATTGAGAAATATCATTATATTTTGACCAAGAGTAAACATAAGGTTTACTCATTAAGTTAATTGTGAGTGGTGAAAGACTAAGTATATAGTGATACATGGAAGATTAATTTTTTGATCTTAAAAGGAATTAATCGCCATGATCCGTATATGGAGTTTTTTTTTTGTTAAAATGGATCAAGTGGGAGAATGTAAGACGTTTTCCACTTTTATAGGAATATATTATATTATTTTAGTGTGGAAAATTAATGATCCATTTAATGAGAAGTTGCAAATGATCAAGGCAACTACCCATGTTCTTCCCCCACATTTTGGAAACCACCCACTCTTTCACTATCTTGTCCACTACTCTATGATGGCTAGAATAGTATAAGTAGACAATGTGTGTTTCATGAAAGGTCACTAAATCTACTCTCATATTTTATACACCATCTAAAAGTGAAAGGAGGGTTTAGAACCATCAACATTAATTAGAGCTTTCTAAAGTGCTATTGAGGTTTTCAAAAGCAATAGCTGGAGGTAAATTAATCGATCTTATCTTGTTGCTTCCGCTTTATTATTATATGTTCATATGAAAATTAGAACATGTAAATTTATGTGATATGTTTTACATGGTAAAGTGCCTAAACCGGCCTGGCCCACACACACCCCTAGTTGAAGCATGACTCAACATCGATCTGACAAATCGGCACACACATTAACACATATTCAACCTCCCCATAGACGAAAGCGTCTCTCACAATACACTAGAATGAATAGCGTTGCATACTGAGTAAACAAGACCATCCAGTTACTTGCAAACAAACACATCATATCTCAAAATTTGATACATAAATTCACTGAAAAACATAACTAGAATCATCAAAGGAACCAAACAACAGAATCCTTTCACAATGCAATCCACAAGATATTACCAGATACTCCTCACTAACAAACTACTTAATCATCTAATAAAGATCCCTACAAGCAAGTGAGTAAGGAACTCTTCAAACAAAAAAACAAAACCCAAGAGGGATTTCGAATGAGTTTCTGAAAGAAAGTTCCATCATTTCTTCTTCTCGGACACACCAGCAGACCTGCATTACAAACACGATTATGTAAGCATTTTATCTATATGACAGAATGATATAACCAATAAATAACGTTCAAGAAGTATGACCATAAAAGAAAATTATATGTGACATGAATGGACACGAGTCACTAAAAGATGACAACCTTAATGTTTGGAGAATATAAAAATTATTCAGTACTGGGGAATACAAGTTTTTTTTAAGGGACGGGTGGATAAAAGTTGAGTGGCATTCAAGACAATGAAGCTGGAAGTATAGTTCCACAATGAAAAGGCAATAAGAGATGAGCATGGGTGCCTTGGCCTTATTACTTCTTAATTAGGAAAACTCGGGGCTAGAAGTTTACCAGGCACATGACTGTTATTGGAACATGTTTTATGCTTCACGACACTGATATATAACATAATGTCTACATCCATTTTCTAAACCAACGAGCCCAATACATTGCAATAATAGTGCACCAAAGGGATGTCTACCCTTAGTTGTGGACTTGGACTTATGCACTGATCTAATATGATAGACATCCATTAACACGATGGACTAAGATTAATGGATACACAATTAACACAATGAACCAAGACCAATGCATACATACTTACAGGTATGTCATGCTATAAAATTACCAAAATTTATGAATAAAATTCAAACATAAATTATGATACCTACATACTGATAAACCAACCGCTATATCAGAAGTACATATCATTCAATGGGTAAATAAAGAAACAACTCGCAGCTAATGCACATTATCTACTAATAATAACTAAAGTAAAGGTAGAATGGTGAATCTAACTCACCTCATTTTCCTGAGGACATTGGCCATCTCCTCTCTCTTCTTCTTGGCCCTCTTGTGGGTTCCCAACTTTCTCTTTGCAACTTTCAGGGCACGCTTATCCTTTCCAACTTTCAACAATTCAGTGATTCTCTTTTCATAAGGAGCAAACCCTGCAACTTCCCTGATCAAGTTCTTAACAAAATGCACCCTCTTGCTAGTTTTCTGAAAAAACGGAAAACCAATTAGTACATGTCTCAGAGTACAGGTTATACATCAGTAAACTAATGTATAATAGAGAATAATACGATAGAAATTCTAAATTCTACAACAAGCAAATTGTTTTGTCATGCAATCTGTCATGTTCTGATAACTTCACCAGAGTATAAAGACCACAGCACAAATAACTGTTAAGATAGACATTGAAGATAAACAAATGCATAAACAGCTAAGGTACAGGTTAGAAGACGGCAAACATAAGAACAATTTAGAATATTCATAAATTTAAATAGAAAATAGGTTGGGTGCTACAGGCACTCTGGAACGGGAAACAGTTACAAGTTACATATAACAATACATGCTACAAAGATGTAAAATTCAAAAGAAATATAACAATACATGCTACAAAGATGTAAAAATTAAAGGAAATATATCATAAGTCAGTTGCAATTGGAAGAGGCTTAAATAAAGCTGTGTCAAAATCATTAGAGCATAATTGCTTAAAACATACAACCTCTTATTACTCAATAAAAGAAATTAACATTCAGAATATACTCATTGAATGTACAATTTAATGAAAAATATCTCATCCGTAAGTACAACTTAATGAAAAATATCTCATCCGTATGTACAATTTAATGAAAAAAATCTCATCCGTTGGAGGCAGCAAACTTTTTAGGGCGTTTTGGGAGGGTGGGGGTGGCGGCGGGGAGGGGGGTTCAATATTACCACGGAAAAGTTATTGTTCTCGAGAGTGTTAAGACAAGCAATTATCAATTAATTCACCATGGCAAAATCAAAAGATCAGCATAAAGAATAGGTATCAGATCGATGTACTCTGATGCGTAAATATTTGCAGAAGTGATTCACGTTAAAATTCGGGGGAAACATAATGAATCTACGTATAACAGAAAAAGATAGAAAATAAATTATGATCTACAACCATTTCAAAATGTGAAAATTCATTTAATAGCTTTCCTGGTTAAAATATAATCCAACCAATAAATTAAAGCTAAACCCATTTGCACGATCAATCAGAATCCACCAATCATAATTACGCAGTAAACAACAGACTAAACAAAAACCTAAAAATGATCAATAAACAATTTTATACAAATGTGAATACATTTCACTCCGACTCTCGTTCAAGATTAAATTAATATGTGCATACAGAACCCAACTATACATCAACAAACATAAGAACATGATCCAAAGTTGCAAGCTTTAGGGTTTACAGTTGATAGAAATCATACCCCTTTTCTACTCGAAGGGCGAGGAGCCAACTCCCTCTTGGTCACCACGTGTCCTTTACTCAACCCTACAAAAAGCCCACTGTTTGGCTGCGGAGGAGCCATCGCTTACCTTCAAGGTAACCAAAATCATCAGTAATCGAAAAGGGTGAAGACCCAAGATCCCATAACCCATACTGATCTAGGGTTTTTGGTAGAAAAATGTGAAAATTTCAAGAAAAAGAATCTGAAAACCGAGCGAATTGTGGTTATTTTACCTGTAATTGGAGAGAGAGTAAACCCTAGCAGCCGCCGAGAACCCTAAAAAATGAGAGAGGAGAGATTTTAAATAGGGGCGTCGAGGTTGAAGGGGAGTTGAAGGACTAAAGAAGGAGTAGCAAATTGTTTATTTACGGATGTATCCTCAATCGATCAGGGCCGTCCGATCACTCGCAGTTAGTAGGGGTGGGCTTGGGCTTGAGTTTATGGGCTAAATTATATGAGCCGGCCCATTGTCTTGGGTGGGCTAAACATCATATTGAATTGATATTGTAAATTTATGCGTTGAACTTTTCGTGGTTGTATTTTATTCTCTTAGAATTGGTTTAAAATTCACAGTGGATACGTCGTAGTATTCTCGTACATTTTCGTATCATTTTCTATAGATAACTTTGTATATTTTATTGATTTTATATGATTGAGGCTTCAGCTTACCAAATGATAGGTTCTATTTGGTTTCATCGACATTGATTAATAATCAGATGGACCGAGCTATAAGGCCCACAGATTGGAAGAATACTTCAAACAACGGCCCCAGTTTGAGTTGGGCCCAATTATTCAGGCCTGTAAAGCGTCAGCCCAACTTGACTCCAAATTACGAGAAAAACTAATAAAATCCTACCCTAGTGTATAAATATCTCTTCATTTTTAGGCTCATTTTTCGCAAGTAAACCATATTATTCTCGGCACTCGGGATGCTTTCACTAAGCATAATTCTTAAAAGAAAGCACGGATTTTTATCATACATAATAACAATAACAGACATTTTATCTTAAACTAGAGAGTTTACAAATAAATACTACTAGTTGTTTGTATTAGATATGAAAGAACTTTTATATATATATATGATTTTTATCATACATAATAACAATAACAAACATTTTATCTTAAATTAGAGAGTGTACAAATAAATAGTACTGGTTGTATTAGAGATTAATGGGTATCATTGTCAAGGAGAGGATATCCCTCCTTGACTCCTATGTGGCACAGTCATCACCATGTGAAATATAGAGAATAAAATAGGAGAGGTGAGAATTGTGTCACGTCATTGTTAAGGAGGAAAATCCCCTCATTATCAAGAATACTCATTAATCTCGTATACACACACAGACACACACACACTTTATTGTCCTCATGGCCAATCAGCAAAGCAAGCAAATGGCTGGTTGACGCAAGCGATCTATTATTCTCTCTTCGAGAAAATTACACAAAATGAATCTCCTCGAGTTCTCCCTTCTCCATTCACAGGAAACCTGAGCAGATGCCAGCTACCTTTCATGCATTATTTATTATCCTAAGCTGCAAGATTTGTCTCAGTCATGATACGAGCCACGTGAGCTTCCACCCATCTAAGCATCTCTACATTAATTTCATACGTGCACCCCGCATACAAATAATAGTGACATCCCACATCATCTGATGTATGTACATAGATGTACCTCTTGCTTGTTTAAAAGATGCAGATATTTATACATTATTCTGACAAGCAACTTATACACATTATAATTATGGTGGTGGATGTTCTAATTTGTTGAGCTTTCGTAATTGGTAGCATGTTTTCTCCTAGCACCCCACGTTAGGTCTTTAATTAGTTTCGTTTTTTTTACACTAATTATTGTGACTAGTATTAATTTAGGTATGGGAATATTGCTATTTAATAAAAATAATAAGACCATCTCCAGCAGGAGGTGAAATTTCACCTCCTTCTCTCCTGCCACATCACTTTATTTAATTCAATAATCTTCATTTCCCTATCAACTCTACAGCAGGAGGTTTTTCAGAAAGTTTTTTTACTTTATTTGGGACCCACCATAAACCACATCACTTCAACATATACCCCACCATATTTATTCATTCTTTTTCCTATTTCATATATATTACTATTTTATTATTATTAGGATAGTTTTGTGAAGGATCCATGAAGAAACTAGCTTCAAATTGTAGAAAGAAGAAGAATAGGGTGTAGAAACTCAGATTTTTTTTGGTGTCCAAATGACACAAAGTTAGTCTCTATTTATAGAGTTTGAAAAATGAAAATTAATGGTATAAAAATTATAAATTAATTCATTGTATTTATCTCAAAAAATATCAATTAAAAATAAGGAGGAAAACAAAAATGCTCACCCAATCAAAGTTCGCCACGTGGTCCCTTCCCATCACCTGCGAGCGTGGGCTTGTCAGAAATGCCCGGGGTGAATTTTTCACCCCTTGACTTTGTTAATTTATTTCACCCGCACAAAAAACCCCTGCTGCCTTCAAATATTCGACGGAAAACCCCCTGCTGGATATGGTCTATTATTATCAGCTCAACTGGGTTGTTAACTATAGTGCTGATCTTGTCAAAACAAAAAAACTAACAAGTCTCTGAAGCTTGAGCTCGATCAAACTACTTACAAATGACTATAGAGTGGATAGATCTCCGATTTTTGGTTACTTTTGCAAACCCCCGAAACTTTGGGGGTTTGCACATATATACCCCCCTAGAATTTCGTTATCTAGCATACATATTGGAAGAAAAATTACTAATTTGAATATAGTATCCTTTACATGCAGGAAGAGTACCTCCCCGCTCTCATTTTTCACCCAAGAAAATTTGAGTTATTTGTCAATAACATGTAGGGAAGTCTGAAGAGAAAAAGTTCAAATATAATAATTAAGTTTTGTGAGAAGCTCCAAGTTTAAAAGGGCCGGGGTTGTCAGATTGATAAAAAAAACCAGGCACTATAGTTTTCGTGTATTCTTGCAAAACACTAAAAAAAAATTTAAAATTAGCTTTACACTAGTGTGCACCCCGTGCAAAGCGCGGCACTCATTTTTGTTATTTCCGCCACATTAATTATATTTTTAAATGTTTTAGTAAGTGCTGCAGTAGCATTTTTAAATGCTACAGTATCCCGCCTGTGCTACAGTGATAATACGACAATAATATTTTTATAACGCTATAATTATATATGTGCTGCAGTGATAATACTACAGTTTTTTGTTGTATCATTTACTGTAGTATGAATAGTATAAATCTTTGAATCCTCTTATTGTTATGGAAGAATAGATTAGACTAACGTCATTAAATATTCAAGAATTACTCCCTACCGTAAAGATAGCCTTCCAATAACAAGTGATTCGCATGGTTCCCCGTTTAAAGGGCGACCTACCTTTCATGGTATCAATTCTTTTTTTTTTTAAGTGGTTAACGTGATCCTATCATTCAACCCATAAAGTTGCAAATTGAGCTTCTCAACCAAACAATCAAAGGCAATTTAGATGCATTTATTGTACCATTGTGAGAGTGCCAAGTTAACCTTTTTTTTTTTTTGTGATTTGGATAGAATAATACACTGTAAAGTAGGAGACATCATATTTGTACTTGACCAAAAATGTTACCTTATTACAGGCCACACTTTTTCCTGTTTTTAAATAAAAGGACCATTGAGAAAGAGAGGCTGTGAGAATTAAGAGGGAGGGAATTTAAAAAAATAAAAATGGAATAATAGCAATATTTTTGTATTATTATTTGGATGAATATGTATAAAATTTTGAGTCAACATGACTTATTAGAAATTTAACTGCCCGACATACCATAATAACCTAGGGGCTATAAAGGAGAGTTTTTTTTTTAAGTTTGCTTCTTTTCATTGAAGAGAATGAGTGGAGATAGTTATTAAATGAGTTAAAGCACGAAATTGATGTTCACATTAATCTAATTATTTCATTTTCCATGCGAAAATTCGTGCGAAAAGTTCCTGTATAAAAACCAATGAGTGCACTCGAGGCCACTGGAATGACATAAAGTTCAGTATTTTATTGTGAAGATGAGATCATGGTATTTGACAAACACCAACATTTTTGTCTTCAATGCGTCGGGGTGCAAATAGCAAAAAGTTGCGTCTCGAGCTACTGCAAAATAATCTGATCGCGTGCCACGTGATCATGTTCCCTTTATTTTATTTTTTTCAGTTGAGAAAAATTGGTGCCCTGAACTTCACAAGTATACAACAACAGCAATTTAGGTTCTGAAGAAATGTCCAACGCGACTGAAAAACAGTTCAGAAAATCACAAGAAAAACTGTTAGGATGTTTGACGGTCGACCGCGAGTTAGCGACGGTCGACCGGAAAGCTGAATGCGGTTGACCGCAGAGACTATGTAATCGATTTTGGTCTCGGGAATCGATTCGGTCGACCGTCGCGGTCGACCGTGAGTACCCTGTAAGATTTTTTGTGCTATGTCGTGGGGTGTGTGGTCGATCGCGTGGCGTTTATTTTCTATCATGGTGCCCTGAGCTTTACAAGTATACAATAAAAGCAATTTAGGCTCCCCGTCATGGATGTTTAGCATTAAGAAGATAATAAATTAGCGATAAACGTTTGATAATATTTAGACTATTTTAATTCATTTATATGGTTCTTTTATTTTCATTGTTTAGTCAATTAAAAAGAACATGATGAAGAAAAAAAATTCAAAAAATTGCATAATTTGATAACCTTTTTATTCTATTCTTGCCAAGGTTCACATTCCTATAATTTTTCAACCAGAAGAAAACATAGTAGGCCCTAAAAAAAGGTTTTTTATTATTTAATCTAGGGTAAAAAATAGGGGAAAAAAAGTCTTTAACTTGATAACATTTATAGTATCTCGGTGTAAAACTTTTTCCTTCATCATAGTCTACAAAATAGATGATTTCTTGTCTTTATGTTGGTAGATAAACCAATATCAAAACTAGAGAAGAGGTTGCTTGCAAGAAAGCATAAAAAAGGGATTAGCAAATTAACAAAATAATAATTAATTTCAAACTCGATGGTAGCTTTCTTCTAAAACGACAGCATACCGTAATTAGTTGATTAGTGAAGATCTCATTATGACTCATTGAGTCCTAAGTTTAACGGCTGATAATAATGGATTTTTTTTAACAAGGGATATTATAATAATATTATATTATATTTAAAATGAGATTATAATCGACTTAGATATTAAATTATTAAAATAAGGAGAGGCGAGGATATGAAGTTTGTGGAATGAAGTTGCCTAGAAAAAAGAAAGAGACGCGTGTTGTTTGGGGGCACATTAGGACATTAAACTTTTGATTATCACCGGTAATCTCTCATCCAATTGCAAATTCAAATTTGATCAAGAAGAGAAGAATCAATTGTTTGCTAAAATATCTCGGGGCTGCTCGTTTCGGACTTTAGGAACCAAATATATAATATCTCCACCGGTTGACCCGGGGATTGTGAGCTTATGCTCACCGCCAGGTGAGGGTGTGTTTTCTTTTTCTATTTTTTTTAAAATTTTAATGTACATATAAAAAGAGAATGTTGAATTTTTATTTTTGATTAATACTATTTAAGTATAGTTATGATATAACATTGAGTGGTGTTAGGAGCACACCCCCTACCACACCACCAACCACACCCCCCTCTCTAGTGCTACGGTAAACCGGGCCACATGGGATTTTAAAATTTTTAAAATCTCATGTGGGGCCCGGTTTACTGTAGCGATGGGAGATGTGGGGTGTGGTTGGTGGTGTGTTAGGGGGGTGTGCCCCTAACATTATTTTATAAACATTTTGTCATAGGCAAACCACCTGCTCCATCACTTAAATCCAACATTTCTGATTTCCTAACCATATGTTGACTTTACTAGAAAACGAGTCAGATATTTTTTTACTATTATTATAGGAATTTAAGATATCTAAAGTATATTTTTTTCTCTTTGATATGTATGCTTTTTTAAATATGATTATAGCAGCACATCTTGAAGTTTTCTCATTTTATTCATGTATCACCAAGAATAAAAGAAGATAGGACAATTCTCATTTTATTCATGTATCACCAAGAATAAAAGAAGATAGGACAATGTTAGAATGATAAATCCGAAATTTTTGATTTCCTAACCATCTATAGACTTCACTAGCAAACGAATCAGATTCTTTTACTGTTATTATAGGAATTTAAGATATCTAAAGCATAATTCTTTTCTCTTCGATATGTATGATTTTCACCTCTTGAAGTTTTCTTTTTTTATTCTTGTCTCACTAAGAATAAAAGAAGATAGGAGAATGTCAAAATGATATTGATAGAGAAATCATACATGATCTGATGAAACTCAAATATATAAAATCTGTTTGACATAAAGTTTCAATGTTCCATTATGAAATTAAATTTCTTATTTGTAAATTTCTACAACATTTTTTATTTAGTTGGAAAGGAAAAATTACTTATTGTAAATAAGAACAATATTGTTCAGAAAATTCCTACGTTTTTACTATACATTTTTTTCTTAGATTCTTCCAAGAAAACTGGTGGATACAGGGTAAAAAATAAAATAATTTCAGATCACAATAACAATAAAATACTAAAGTGAAGCTTCCGTGATAATCTTGTGCTCCACATAAATTCAACTTAGGAAAGGGTAACCTCACCACCCAGAGTGACCAGATGTCCCCCACCCACAAATAATTACTTAGAAGCCCCTAACTCTTCAAAATTTTAATTAAAACCCCTAAGCCCCTCAACTAATTACTCCCCATTAAAGCTCTCCCCGCTTATATTAAACGCTACCGTCTCTAGCTCATCTCCCCCACTCGCCCAGGCTCTACCCCCGGCGCAAAATACCCTTCGCCCTTATCGTGCGCCGCCCGGGGAAGGCGGAGCTTCGGCGGCGGAGGGGGAGGAAATGGGCCAGTCTCTAACGTGCGCCCGGTCAAGCGACGAGCACGAATTCTTCAGCGCGGTTCAAGCTGGAGACTTGGAGACCGTGGCGTCTTTTCTCTCCACCGAGCCCCAAATGCTCCGGCGAACCACCGTCTTCGACCGCCTCTCCACCCTCCACATCGCCGCCGCCAATGGGCAGCTCGAGGTCTGAGTCCTGATTCTTGGTCACTTTACTGGGCCCCTTTGAAAATTTTCTCATTTTATCTGAAGTTCTTTTTTTTTGCTTGATTTTAGGTACTTGGTATGCTATTGGATCGATCTCTGCATCCAGATCTCCTCAACAGGCATAAACAGGTATTGGGTATGCTTCAAATTTTGATTTTTAATGTATTTCTCTGATCTGACATTTTTTGGGTATTTTTTCATTTTGTTGTTGTAATTTTTAGACTCCTTTGATGCTTGCTGCGATGCATGGAAGAATTTCTTGTGTGGAGAAGCTCCTTGAAGCTGGAGCTACTGTGAGAAATACTCTTCCTCTAGTGTTATTTTAGTAGTTTTGATACTATGTTGAGATTTGAAGAGAAATTGATTTCGGTTTAATTTGTTGTTTCAGATCTTGATGTTTGATTCATTGCATGGTAGAAGTTGTTTGCATTATGCTGCATATTACGGCCATTCGGATTGCTTAGAAGCAATTCTATCTGCTGCCAATTCAACCTCAGTTGCTGATTCTTGGTGAGTCTCAACAGAATAATATGGTTTTAGATTATAAATTCATAAGCTTAAAGGTGGCTATTGTTGTTGGATTACAGGGGATTTTCTAGATTTGTAAATGTTAGCGATAACAATGGGGCTACGCCGTTGCATCTAGCGGCGAGGCAAAGGAGACCAGAATGCGTTCATATTTTACTGGATAAAGGAGCTCTTGTTTGTGCACCCACTGGTGGATATGGGTAATGTCTCATTTCACCCTTTGTTTGAAAGTGAAGTTATTGTGTTTTGAGCTATGGGCATTCTAAAAGTTTATAACTTCATATTAATTAGGATTTAGCTGATAATTTGTCACTTGCAGATGCCCCGGGAGCAGTCCTCTTCACTTGGCTGCTCGAGGAGGGTGTTTGGATTCTGTTCGGGAGTTGCTCGCTTGGGGCGCCGATCGGCTTCAGAGAGATTCATCTGGGTATGCATCAATTGCCATTGTTTTTAGAGTCATCTCCATTAATGTGCTGGAGTTATCTGTCTTTTAGATCTCTTATTTTCAGAAGTTGTGATGTCAATTTCTCGATATGGTAGAATGTTAATTTGGCTCTGCTGTTGATCAGTCTCAGTTTACTTCATTTTTTGCTCATACACTTCTCTATATAGATAATAGGTCTAATTTGTGGTTATGCTTTGAAATGTTAACTAATGGTAATACGTGGTCATTGATCTGTCCATTTCGCTATGCAGAAGAATACCATATGCCATTGCACTAAAACGAAATCATGGTGCATGTGCTGCTCTACTGAACCCATCAACAGCAGAGCCTCTGGTTTGGCCTTCTCCACTCAAGTTCATCAGCGAACTCAACAATGATGCCAAAATTCTTCTAGAAAATGCTCTCATGGATGCTAACAGGGAGCGGGAGAAGAACATCTTAAAAGGGACGGCATATTCCTTGCCATCCCCCACGCACTCTGCGGACAGTGTTGATGATGACATCTCGGAGGTACTCTATTCCCATATACTCAATTTCGTTTTTTTAAATTTTATTGGATGTTATAACCTCAGCGGATGCAATGCAATGGGGATAATGCTAGAGTGATTGTTGGGGATACAATCTTCTTTGAGATTGTTCGAGTCATTTTGGATTACATAATACTATACATGCACACAGAAAAGTTCTTAACCTCGATGAAAGTTAAGCATTTAGGGATTCTATTTATTAGGGCTGAAATAGTCTCAGACTCTATCTACAGAGCTAGACCTGCACATTTGCCCTGACCTTATTGTAGTTTCTGCTCTTAATGATTATTATGTAATTTAGGTATGCCTAATGACTTGTTAGGTACGATGTCGATTTTAACATGTGATCTGTTTTGCATAATAGAACTTTAAAATTGCTCGTCCAAAACAATTAGACTTTAAATCTTTAACATTACTAAAAACCATGTCTTAAACTTGCGCATGCTTCAATCTTAGATGAAATTTAATGACCATAAAAATGAACCCTGTTTACAGGCTAGTGATACTGAGCTCTGCTGCATCTGCTTCGACCAAGTATGCACAATCGAAGTTCAAGACTGCGGTCACCAAATGTGCGCTCACTGCACACTCTCCCTCTGTTGCCACAACAAACCAAACCCTACAACCTTATGCTTGCCCGCCCCGGCCTGCCCCTTTTGTAGAAGCAACATAGCTCGGTTGGTTGTAGCCAAGAACAAGACCAAGGAGGAGCTCGACAAAACAAGCCATTCTTTTAAGCTTAGACGTTCGAGAAGGTCCCGGAACTTTGGGGAAGGAAGCAGCAGCTTCAAAGACTTGTCGTCAGCCATGGGCTCTTTCGGTAAGATGAGTAACCGCGGTTCTGGACGAATAGCCGATAGCAGTGATAACCTGGACAAGCCTTAAGAGTGCTGGTTCATTGCTTGTGTGTAGATTTTGGTCATTGTAAGTGCAAAAGAGAAATCAAATAAGCAACCTTTTTGAGGAAGGGGGTTGATCCCTGTAGGGGAAACCGAAGCATATGCCCCTTCGTGTTTCAAGCTTTAGCGGCCCCCAGAGAGCATGGGCTCTGCTTGTTGTCTACTTTGAAACAGTTGTGAGATATAGATTGAATTGGATGGACGATTCTTTTCTTCACAAGACTTGTTGTTGTTAGCTGGGTTTGTTGATGGGGAATCTTGATTGTCATGTGAGCGGTCTGATAATTGAGCATGGGGATTTGGGCTCCACCCCTGCCGACGGGTCTGTCTCTTGCATGGATGCGAGGCTCTTGTCTGGTCTGACTCAAAGAGTCAGGTGTGGGGTTATTTATACATATGGGGAGGGCTTCATATAGAGAAAATAGAAAATCACACAGGGAGGAAATAGATCTCAGCGTCTAGAGAGCTCCTTATAGAAAATTATAATCGAAATAGAGGATGAAGATGATTGATCTAACATGAACCTTGTTGCATACATCACCATCAGCTAACATTGCGTTCTTCACTGATAGACAGTAGGGATTGTTGTGATAGCCGCTGATACTGATAGTGATATTTGCATTGAGATTCGTGTTAGGCCACATGGTCTTCACGTCCGCCTCCCCATACGTAGCTACCTATATTTTTTCCGTATGGAGGGTGCTCTATATGATTTTCTACCTGTCGTAGGCTCTGACGCAGTTCAGTTGTGTCTGTCTTGTTACCCTTGGAATATGAGGTAGTTGGGGTAGATGGGGGGTGGGCAAAAGCAAACCGGAGTGAAAATAAAGCAAGGAATGTATCACTTGTTACCCAAGTAACCTAACTCTATAGGGGTCCCTTTCGTTGCTTGGCTTGTTCATTGAGCATGACTTGTATATGCATAATAGCTAGCCGCTGCGATTAACCTGCAGCCTCTATAAATTAATCTCTCTTTTGTGGGCTCTAATCTTTTTCTAATCTTTTCCCTTGCTTTGAATGATGACCTGTTGAAAAAGAGTGTCATTTCATCTCATCAATTAAAGGGCAAATGAAAGGTTTGGGGGTTTGTAAATATTGAACGCTACTCTTCAACTCTAATATGAGATGAGGGTTATGATGGAGGACATCACAATTGTGCTTGTGATCATTAGTTATGCTTTTTTTGCTTGTAATTTCGTTTCCTTCTTGGTGCTAAATTCTAAACGATCATGAATTATGTGACGTGAATCTATTTGATGGTCTCGGTCAGAATTGTGATGTAGAAGTTAATTTTTGAAGGGGATTGGATCTGTTCTGTTTTTAAAAAGTTTTCGTAGCCTTCAGAATTGTCTTTCTTTTACTTGGAAATGCTGACGAGTGACTGAAATTAGGATTCTAGATGCCTTCCGTCGTTGTATTCCTTATAATAATCTAATTAAGGGTTAATTGCAGATATATAGAAGACCTGCAGTAGCAGCAGTACCGATGTCTTGAACTTGTTACCTCTCTAATGTTTTTTTGCAGGTGGACCCTCTAAGTAAATTTTTTTGACTCTTTTACCCTGAGAGAGAGAGAGGACTGTTTTTCAATAGATAGACTTCCTGAATGTAAATAGTATATTATTATTATTATTATTATTATTTTATACGTCATTCAGGGGTTCTATCTACAAAAGTAAAAGTAGAGGGATTGTGATTTCTTCAAAGTATTAATATACTTTAGGGGTCGGTCTTCCAATTAGAGGTGGAACATCAAAGATATCTCGCTTCTCCTCATGCACCTACTCTTTAATTAGTATTTCCACTCCATTCCTTTGAGAAGTCAATTTTCAAATTTGAACGCATATACAGACCACACGGTTGAATTCATTGCTATCCGATTCAGATTGGTTGAATTTTGGCCCCTCATTTGCCAACTGGTTACACGAGTCAGCCACCAAAAGGGAAAATGAGAATATAGATAGAGCCATCATCAACTAGTAAAAGCAATGACCAAGTCTAAAACTACAACAATATATAATTAAAAACAAAAGACAAGGGGTCTACTTATATCTGTTAAAAATTCTGCATGGAACCTTGCATTTTCAGTAGTTTTTAGCTGTGGCATGACCAAGTGTTGTTGACTCTAGATCACACACTTCGCCCATTCTCGTAATTTACATATGACCAAGTGGGTGTTGCGCGCCGTGTGGAAGCGTGCTCGACAACCAAACGAGTCCGCGAGCCATGGGAGAAGATTAACAAACCAAACTCGAGCACAATCCAAACAAATATGACAAACCAATTGCAAACACAGAGATAAACGTGGTTCGACTATGTCAACGAGGAGAGGATAGAGAGATTTCACTATTTCGAGGAGAGTACAAAAGTGTTACAACCACTCAAACACTCGAACAAACCCTAATCAATGATCTCTCAACTCGCTCACAAGTTCTCCCTCCCAAAGTGCTCAGAATACTCTCTATTCTCTGATAAATCAAATCCTAAAATCGTGTTTCAATATATATCAAAACACAAACCAAATCAGAGCATGAAATAAAGCTCAGGCCCAAACCCGACTAGCGGTTGTTTTCGCCAAAAGTTGGTTTCGTTGTCGAATTCATTATATCTTCGGTCGATTACAATAAATTCAAAGAAAACAGCCTTTTTATAAGACTCTTTTACACAACAAAAAGAAAATTACAACTCTTGAGAAAATAAACGCAGGATCGTTGTTTGGATCACTGCTTTTGTGGGATCTTTGCCTGTGCCGGGAGTGCTTTGACTCGTGGACCACCAAATCACAGATTCTGATTGAATCGTGAGGGGTTTATGATTCTGACTTCGTTTATCGAAGTGAAAAATTGAAACGATATCTTATCGATGTAAGATAGTCGTTCTTCTTGAAATCAAGTCAAAGCCTGATTATCAAGGATTGGCCGTAATATCAGCACCTCTGCTCTCTCTCTGCTCTGGAATGCTCTAACAAATGCTCGATCAAATGCTCGATCCTCGTCAGAAGTGACCCTAGGGGGTATTTATAGCCTCTGGGGTCTGTAACTGCAAAGACTTAACAACCGAAGAAATCAGTACGGCGAGACAGTGTTTACTGTCTCGCTGGGCGAGACAGTGTTTGCTGTCTCGACCCGCGACAGTAAATTTGCTGTCTCGCCCAGCGAGACAGCAAATGCTGGGTCTCGCTGGCGAGACAGCAAAGTCTGTCTCGCTGGCGAGACAGCAAATACTGTCTCGCTGGCGAGACAGCAAAGCCTGTCTCGCTGGCGAGACAGCAAAGCCTGTCTCGCTGGCGAGACAGCAAAGCCTGTCTCGCTGGCGAGACAGTTCATACTTGTTTTGATTTTTCCAAAACAGTATGAAATCCTTTCTTGTGAATTTTTGAGTGATCTTCTCTATGCTTGGGATATCTATTAGCATTTTTTGACGCCTACAGATACCCCCTCCAAAGTATTCCAGACTCATTCTTTTATAGAGGAGCATGGGATACTTTGGATAAGATAGATTTTACTTACGATCCCTTCAATGCTTGGCTGAATAGATCGTATGGAAGGACTTGTAAATGGCTTCAATGTTTGACCTCTTCTGCTGTTAGTCTATTCAGTTCTTCGTAGAATAGCTAATGTTCTCCCGGTGTCGCGTTTATCGCTTGACCGTTGTCGAGATCTTGAATTGAAGTTAATACTTGCTCTTGTGAATTCAGCTTTTACCACTGAATTGGTATATCCGTTGAGAATTCCTCAGGTTATCCTTAAGAATATTCAAATTAATATTCTCCAGAAACTTCCTGTTGAAGTTAGGAATACAGTTTAGACTCGTGTACCTATTGGAGTACTCAGAATATTCTTAAGAATAACCTGAATACTCCAATAGGTACACGAGTCTAACCTGTTTCCCTAATCTCAACAGGAAGTTTCTGGAGAATGTCACTCAGAATATTCTTAAGAATAACCTGAATACTCCAACTAAGTACACGAGTCTAAACTGTTTTCCTACCATCAACAGGAAGTTTCTGGAGAATATCATTTAAAATATTCTTAAGAATAACCTGACTACCCCCAAACGGGTATATGCAGTATCAACTTGATGACAAGAGCTGATTTCACAAGTACAAGTTCCAGCTTTAATTCAAGATCTCGACAACGGTCAAGCGATAAACGCGACGCCGGAAGAATCTTAGCTATTCTACAAAGTACTGAATAGATTGAGAGACAAAGAGGTCAAGAGTTGAAGCCATCTACGGGTTCCTCTATATAATCTACTCAACCAGCATGGAAGGGATCGTAAGCAAGACTTATCTTATCCAAAGTATCCCAGAACTCCTCTATAAAAGAATGAGTCTGGAATACTTTGGAGGGGGTATCTGTAGGCGTCAAAAAATGCTGAAAGATATCCAAATACAGCTCAAGAGGAAATCATCCAAAAAGGCAAAAGAACACAAGTATAGACTGTCTCACAGGCGAGACAGTCTTTACTGTCTCACCTGGCGAGACAGTCTTTACTGTCTCGCCCGGCGAGACAGACTTTTACTGTCTCGCCCAGGCGAGACAGTTTTCACTGTCTCGCCCCCGCGAGACAGTTTTCACTGTCTCGCCCCTGCGAGACAGTATTTACTGTCTCGCCGTGCGAGACAGAATTTAATGTCTCGCACGTGAGACAGCTTTCAGATGGTCAAAACTACCTTTGTAACTGCCCTACACGTGGCCACTAACTGTTCAAGAACGTGGGAAACGTCGTGGGCGAGAATCACGTGGATAACTGCCAAAATAACGGAGTTTGAAACGTGGGAAAGCAGTTACATCGAAAACTGCCAGAAATGTAGACAGTATTTTACTGTCTCGCTGGGCGAGACAGCAAATTTACTATCTCGCTGGGCGAGACAGCAAACATTGTAAAGCATTTTTTTTCACCCGGGGCTATAAATACCCCCCGAGATGATTTTTTAGGGAGGAGAGAGAGATCAGATCCAGCCTAGATCAGAGCAAACCCAGAGGCTGAGCATACAGAGCAGAGTTCTTGAGCTTCAGGCAATTCCTTGAGATTCTAGCTTTGACTTGATCTTAAGAAGAACGACTATCTTACTTCGATAAGATATTGTTTCAATTTCTCACTTCGATAAACGAAGTCAGAATCATAAACCCCTCACGATTCAATCAGAATCTGTGATTTGGTGGTCCACGAGTCAAAGCACTCCCGGCACAGGCAAAGATCCCACAAAAGCAGTGATCCAAACAACGATCCTGCGTTTATTTTCTCAAGAGTTGTAATTTTCTTTTTGTTGTGTAAAAGAGTCTTATAAAAAGGCTGTTTTCTTTGAATTTATTGTAATCGACCGAAGATATAATGAATTCGACAACAAATTCGACTTTTGGCGAAAACAAACTGGCGACCACAGTGGGAGCCAACGATTTTTCCAAAACAGTATGAAATCCTTTCTTGTGAATTTTTGAATGATCTTCTCTATGCTTGGGAAATCTATTAGCATTTTTTGACGCCTACAGATACCCCCTCCAAAGTATTCCAGACTCATTCTTTTATAGAGGAGCATGGGATACTTTGGATAAGATAGATTTTACTTACGATCCCTTCAATGCTTGGCTGAGTAGATCGTGTGGAAGAACTTGTAAATGGCTTCAATGCTTGATCTCTTCTGCTTTTAGTCTATTCAGTTCTTCGTAGAATAGCTAATGTTCTTCCGGTGTTGCGTTTATCGCTTGA